CCCAGCACAGCCCGGGCCAGGCCGGCCCGTCCGGCCCGCTCAGGCCCCGCCGGACCGCGGAGCTGGTTCTGGGCTCCGGTTTGGCCACGTATTCGCCGCCCGCTCAGCCTGGGCTCGGGGAAGGGGCTGGTGGGCAGCGGAGGGTGCCCGTCCCCGAGGAAAGCGCTGAGCTGAGAGCATTAGCCTGGTGTAAAGGTCATCGGAAAAGGAAGGTGAAATGCCTGACTCCAGGGATGCGGCACTGGAAATAGCCAAGGCCAGTATGCTCAGACTTTAGTAAGTAGAGTTCATAATAAAATCACTATTTTCCCCTGCTTATGTTTGTTTTAGTAAGAAAATGATGTGGAAATAACGAAAAATGTTTGAATGATCAGTTCCACCATAAGATCCACAGTATCATCAAAAAATTTAAGCCACAGGACTGGGAACAAAATGCTTCTGTCAGCAATAATTCAAACCCAATAAGAGGCACATCCCCTCTCCACACTGCTTTGAGTCTGCTCCAAATACTTCAAAAGATTGTTCTGCAACAGCAGACTTCTTGTTACTGCTGCTTTCAACTGCAGCCCAGTGGTGCCCATGAAAACTACCTTCTGAACAGGACCCTGACTCAATCAGCAATCCATGTTACCAGACAAAAACAAGGAGAGGGAGAAAGCACTTGGACAACTTCTAACTTCAGCATAGCCATACCAAGATTACAAAATGCACACCCACCAAAAGAAGAAAAGCAGTGCTTCAGACAGCATTGTAGATTATGATGGACATGATAGTTTAGGGAGGTGAGGTGAAACAGAATCAGTTCTGTGTTTGTGTGGAGACATTCACATTCAATAAATAAAATTGTGTTCAAACATTTCCTGCTGACCCAATGCATTTTTAATTAGTAGCTGATGATCACAGAACAGCTTTTATCTCTTTGGAAAGTTATATGTTTTATTTCAGCACAAGTCATGTTTTATTTATGCCTAGCTTGGTATTCAGAATGTACTCAGTAAAACAGGCCTCAGAAGTACTGGCAAGAGCATGTAGAAATGCTGCATGTTATTATTTCATCCTTTTTCTTAAGGGGATAAAGCCCTTACACACTCACCAAAGATCTGACATGATGTGCATTCCTCATCAGCTTGTTTTAACTTCAGAGTGTCAGTGGGTGTTCCGTAGGTAGAGCTGTAGAAACACAGACTTTAAATCTTACCAAATACTGGATAAAAAACCCAAATAGTAAAACTGCAGGAGATGCTGTCAAAACCTTCAGACTGTTGCTAGAAGTCCTTGAATGCTAAAAGGTCATTGTGTATGACCTTTTATGAAGGTGGTACAATATGAATCAATATGAAATTGTGCAAAGACACATTTTCAAGAAGCCACAAATACTGGTTTACAGCAGAGCACCAAAGCAGGAACTAAATTTTTTGTTGACATCACCTCAGTGAAAGTGTCCAGCCCTCACCCCTGAAGCCAACATGAATGTTTAAGAATATTTGCAAGAGAGATGCATGGTAGAATAATAATAAAAATGAAAGTATATTGCAAAACTTTGAAGAACAGACACATAAATGACTTAGTTCAAGACCTCTTTAAGGGTCTTGACTGTGTGCGACATTTGTAGCATTCTATTTTGTTGGATTAGCTTGACTACTTATCATATTTACAGGAGGATGCAGTGAGCTGTAAGGAAGCTGAATTTTAAGACGGGGAAGGTAGCTAGCTGCAGGCAAGAAGAAAAATTGCCTCATGACTGCTAAGCTCCAGAGTTTGTGGTGCTGTCTTGAAATGCAGCTGCAAGAATCTAGAGGCATATCATGACTGCAGGAAAGCTACATGTCTGGAAAAGGTGTGGTAACATTCTCCTAATAAATGTCACTGCAGTGGTTTTATATAATCTGTATTGCCCTTCATGGAAGCTTTACAGTTTCTTATGTATCTCCTGTCTAGTCATGAACAATACCACAGAAGAAAAAAAAAGATGAAAGGTCCAAGATGAGGGTGGCAGAACACAGCCAGATATTCTGGCTGTATCCCCTCCAGCCACAGGGCTGTCTTCCAAGGTGTCCCCACTTTGGCAGTGCTACTGCTCAGAGCAGAAAGGAAAAACCAACTGTGCTTAAGTTTAAGCAGTCAGATAACAGAATCTGAGACACTTTCATTGTTATGATTGGATTTTAAGTTATTTTTATAGAAACTGAATGTAATTAGTAAAGCTTTTTCACTACAAATGACCACAGTGTATCTGTCTGGAAACCAGGCCAAGCTGAAGCCAGCAGTTTAACTCTATAAATAAATTTTAGCTGGTTAATGCTTTATTCTTTATCCAGCAATGTTTTACAGCTGCAGTCTGCTTCTGTATACAGTTTTAGATCTGGAGCAGTATTTGTTTTAGATTTTCAAAAATCTCTTGAAAAATTATGATGACTGCTCTGAACCTCCTAAAAAAAAATAAAAAAAAAAATTGTGCCATTTAATGCTGCTGAAGCAATCCCTATTTTCATATGGATTTCAGCTTGGCAATGCAGTGAGCCCTGAGGACACCCCAAGTCCCTCTTCTTATCAAGTCTCTTTTGTCCCAGCATGTCTTCTCTGTGAAGCCCAACCATCTAGACATCTAGACCATCTAGGGGTGGGTAGTCATGGCTCTGGTCCACTTCCTGTGCCTTTGTTCCTCTGTCCCAAGGTGACTTGCATGAGACAAGAAACATGGAGTCATTAAGGTTGGAAAAGACCTGTAAGGTCATCCAGTTCAACTCCTAAGCTTGTCACCTCTTACATCTCTTGGGTTGATAAGAATTAGGAGCATGACAATCTGTGTTCCAGTGCTCTTCACTCAAGAGGGGTAAGGGGTATCAAAGGTCCTGATACTCATGGAAAACAGCAGCACAGTATGAGGGGAAACTCGTGTAACCTTACACGTGAATAAAACTGTAAGTGGAAACAGCCTTCATCCCCAGGTAATTATTGTGAAATGTGATGCTCCAGGCAGTGAATGGACTCAATTTCTTGGTGTCTGAAAAGCCTTCTCCCCAGCTCTTTTTTTTCTGACACAAGCTCCACCTTCTTGGCAGAATGAACAGAAGAAAATGGCAATAGAAAGTAACAGCTTTAGCACTGGTGGTAGGCAGATGCTGTCTCCCTAAGATCAGTCAGAGCATATCTTACCCAATGGTTTGTGATCTGTCTCCGGGTTCAGAAATGACATCCCTTTTTTCCCCTTCAGTAAAAACATAATGCTTGAAGTGGAATTAAGCTGAGGCATAACCTGTGAAAGCAGCATTTTCCTTTGATAAAAGCCAGAAATAAGTTCAATATTTCTTCTACACACTTGCTTTAGCATTTAATAAAATTAAAATATTATTTTAAAAAACCCAAATGCAAATACCTAAACATTGTTCTAAGAGAATGCAGACCATTTTTCCTGTCTAATTAGACATTAGGCATGTGTGCATTCTATCAAAAAACAACAGTGGTATTTCTCTGCAAGCATATCTACATTGTAAATGACTTTGAAATTAAAATCACAAATTTTCAGTTATTGAGTTGCTTCACTAAGTAGAGCAGTTCTTTCCCTCCACCCACAACTTTTTCAGTTGAACACTGTGTCCTAGCAAAGTCTTAGCAGCCTTTAAGAAGTCTTAGAACAATTCTTCCTGTTTTCCAAAAAAATAACTATGTATGTTACAAAGCAAGACGTTAAACTGTTTTGGGAGACACTATAATTAAGAACAGGTTGGATTACCTAAGGAACTGCACACCTGCTGGTAGGGGCATGCTGCTCTATAGAATACTGAAATGTTTTGTTCTAAGTACACAGAGTGCATTGCACAGCATTAACAATGCTAAATTATCTAATTATCTAATATCTGCAAAGTAGGCATCATGAAATAACACAATGTATACAATGTTCTTATTTTTGCCTTTTCTACAAGCAAATGAGAGTCCCACAGAGGAGCACATGTTGATACCAGTTTGAATCTGCTTTGCACTGTGCTTTTACTAACATCTAACACCATGGGAGAGAGTCAAATCAAGCAGCTCACTGTAACCATACCTATAAACACAGCTATGGTTTATCATCAACATCCTGAAATTGAAGAGCCTTCTTAATGTTCCAGCTTTCAGAGTCAGATTTTCACCGGAGAAATTATTTATATCATTGCTAAAAGATCCTTCAGTGTCAGGAATTTTTCACCTTTTTTTTGTGTGTGTGTGTATCATATCAATTTAAAATAAGTCACAGAGAATTAAATCAACTTTGTGTTATCAGCCCAGATAGCACAGGAAGAACAAATGCAGGAGTGGCATCCAGTGACATCTAACCAGTAACTTACAAAGATAAACAGGAATTTCACAGGTAAATTTTTCTCAAGGAGAAATTTTTTTGAGTTCTGCTGTTCTATCTTCCATTTCCTCCATCTTCCCTTCTCCCCAAAGGCAGTAGAAAAGAAAAGGAAATATAAACAGTATGGGAGGAGATGGCGAGAATATGTAAAAAGCAACAAGCTGGAGGCAGGTCTTCTCCCAGGTTTCCATGTTTGGTTCCTATAAAGTCTAAGTGCCTGTACCAGAGCAGCCAGGGAGCCTCCTCCCCTGGACTCATTAACATATCCAGCTTCCTTTCAAGACTTTATGCTTTCACAAAAAATATTTTTTAAAATAGGTTTCTTTTACTCTACTGCATGACTTTTTCACAGAATCTCCTGTTCTCTTGTTCTTGAGCCCCCCTGAGTCACCTTCACTTTCTGTGAATACACTATCTGATTTTAGGATATTTTTGTATTTGTTTCTCTCTGCTAAAACTTATGTTAAAGCCCAGGAAGCCCCAGCAGTGCTGCAGTTCAGCATTTTGATCCCACTGCCACTGAAAATGCTCAAGTTTTTATAGCTGGCATTTTACTTCAAGAGACTTGGTCAACTCCATGTTACACAGAGACAAATGAGTGCAGAGGGATGATGCATCCAAGACTGGATGATATCTCTACACAGTAATTTGCAGGATTTTTTAAGTTTCTTTATGTATGTTAAACTCCACCTCAAATGTGAACTGCTGTATTAGAAGCACAAAGCCAGCATTTAGCCTGACCTGTTTAAACCTACTTGCTTTAAAGGTTAATCAAAAAGCACCCCCTTGTATGCAGTCACTGAAACAAAGTTCAGACCATGTAGTTCAGGTTCCTGGCCTTTTTCCACCTCAGTGTTGAAAGAAGAAAGTCCTGTTTTCCTTTTGCAACAAGCATCCCCAATTATATAACTTTGCAGTAAATCAGAATTTTAAATTATAAGTAACTGTTACTGGAAGGCCAAACACTCTAAAGCACAAACCAGCCAGCGATGCAATGTTGTATGAATACTTGAAAATGGAAATTTCTTCTAAGTGGCCGTCATTATCTGCTTATAGCCTGAAATATGTTGTTTGTTTATTCCAAGTCAGAAATACAACCTATGAACATTACCAGTCAGAAAATTATCTTGGCTCTTGTGTTTGAGCCAAACCCAATATTGCTGCAAAGGGATGAAATTTCAGTAAAGTCAATGGAGTTATGCCAGTGCTTAGTTTAGTCAGCTCACTACTGTCATATGCCCATACGTAAAAGTCGGATGGAAAAATTTATTTCATACTGTAACTATAAATACTATAACTTAATGAGGCCCCCTACCTCATTTTTTTCTCCATTGACTTTTATTTTACAAAAAATCACTGACACTTATTGTACAATAATTCATTACATACTATATGCTAGAATAATGTATCACTATTATAATACTTTTTTTTTTTTCTCTCAGCAATGAGAATTCCATAACTAAAATGAGGAGGTATTCTATGCTGGTAGAATAAAATCCAGTTTAATTGGGCACTTCTATACCCTCCCATCACAGCCCCTGCAGATGTCTCAGAACCAGCCTGTTCCCTGTACAATGCTCAAGGACCAGCAACTATCAGCCAGGGTGCTGCTGGGAACTGCCTGGTGTGCAGGACAGGCAGCCTTAGAAAACACTCTGGTTTTGATATACCTGGCACTGTAAAGAATGATTTGCTTATGTCTTGTGCTTTGTATCTTTCTCACAGTAAAATAATAAACATATAGAACACACATTTTTAGATAAACCCTTTTTACCCAAGAAGGTAGAAAATTACTGAAATGCAAAAACTGGGCTGTACTGGTTTGTACTGCCCACCAGTGCCTATCAAATTTGTTTTATGGGACCTCAGGGTTAGTATATGATGTGTATGAATCCACCACAGTATGCTTAGACTGTTTTGCTTTTAATTTAAAATTAACACAGACAAGAAAGCTTATTAAAAGTAACTTTGTGGCTCTCTCTTGGCTGTAAGATCATTCTACTTTTAACACATTACTTGAGTGACCAAATTGATCTGGGAGGCGTAAACACGTAACCTGATCTTAGGTCACTTTGAAAACAAGAAATCATGCTCCTAAGTGAGCATGTAACTTCCAATATATATGAGTTTAAGTATTGCTGCTTGAATTGTTTGGGACAGTCCCACTCATTTAGGAATCCCATGGTTTAAGAATTGCATATCACATACTGCATTGTTGTACCATTCAAATATTGTGAGTAAGAATGTCTGGTTAAATCAATTAAAATGAAAGTGAAGAATCACAGTTGCAATTTTCTAGTTAGTGCAGGTTACTATCTTCTGAACCAAGCATCAGAAGGTCAACCCAGAACATGAGAATTTCTCCAGGGCTTCTGAAGGAAAAGTAATTGCCATCTGTTCATGAGGTAAGAAGCTTGAAAGACCCAAACAAAACACATTAATAGGAAAAGATAAATAGCTTAACTGAAAATCTGGATCTGGCTGCATCCTTCCAAAACAGCATTATGCATAAGCTTCCAATGTGAAAATTACCAAAAAAAAATAATATACTGAAGCAGGAGATGACAAGCAGTCAGGAAGCTTGTGTTGAAAATGGAGAGCAACAAAAATGCATTAAGGAAGTGAGAAAGGCAGACGATTCCCATCTGTGCTCTACCCCAGTGAATGCTCCATGAAGTCAGTTAATTCATGGAAGTCCTTGCTCAATGACACCACTGACAATATGTTAACTGAGCCATTCATGGTGTTGGCCCTGCTGGAACTCAGCTCCAGCAGTCACCATGACAAGATCTTTATTTAGCACAGCCATTTCAGTTAACAGATAGAACAGGAAAAATAATAAAGAAATAAGAAGAACACAGCTATCATAAAGTATCTTGAAATACATGAAAATACTCCTTGTCTTTCACTTCCGTGTTTGAAGATGGTTGCAACAAGGATAAACTCTCAAAATTTGGATTAAAAACACAAGAAAACCATTCATGTTGCATCATATTAAGGTAGAAATCAGGAGCTAATTTTAAAAATGATAAATTGAATCATGTATTTCCATAACACATTTGCTGCATTTTTATGTTACTGCTTTCAGATGTTACTGGTAGGCAGGAACACAATGTCTGAAAGCTGACTCTAACAGGCCTCTAGAGTAAACTGAAATATCTAAAGCTCTAGAAGTACGTTACAAACTCTAAAGGCTCCACAAGATAACCATGTGTACTCAGTGCTATATATCTTATACAGAGCTTATACATTCCAATTTAAGTAAACCAGTCTCCTTTGCACAGAGATAAGGAAACCGAGCTGTGTAAAACAAAAACTACCATTCCACTCAAATTTATATTTAGTATTTGCTGTGTCATGCTTTAATTGCTGAAACTGCCTCTAAAAAAGCATTAAAAAAATCACCAGAAAAAATGCCATTATGAGGCACATTGAATGTTCAGAATAAAGCTTCACCTTGAAAAATATATGCATCAGTTCTGAAGCACAAAGAAGTTCTAAAATACAGATGAATCATCAACATTTTGTTTCTATCAGCTACATGCTCCCGATGTAAAAAATACAAAGAACAAAAATATACTGAAACTCTCTTGGAGCTCACCATCATGAACAAAACAGAATTTATTGGGAGTTCAAATTTGTCTGAACAGAGAGGAAAAGAAAGTGTTGCAAGATTAGTTCCCTCTTTAAAAAGAGCAGATAAGTTAGTAAATACAGTAACTTCCACTGAGCTGGCAAGTGAGCCAAGCTGGATAAGCAGATCCAGATACCTAATTTGGGAGGCTGTGAATTGCATTCCTTATCTAATGAAATCCCTTATTTTCCCTCACTGTTTTTTTTTTAGCATAATTTTTCACATGACTTTCAAATATAATTTTAAATGAAGTATATATAGGTAGTCAAACTGGACCATATGGTAAAAGACTCTTTGCTGAAGATTCATTAATTTAAAATACAAGTGAACAGTCTCTGAAATGGATGGGTTTTGTAGAGTCCTGATCAACCATATGTCCAGCTGCAAGGATTTCTCACAGAAATTTTTTTTGCTGTCCCAAGTAGTGACTTCAATATAGGGCTTTACAGCCCCTGCAACTCAGCCACATGAAACATTTCCACAGCACAGGCCTCAGGATGCATACTGCAGGTCCTCCCTGTCTGGTGGTCACAGAATCACAGAATCACAGAATTTGTGATTCCATACAGAGCAGCACAATATGGACTTAGAAGTTCTGTGGTTGGATTCACCAGAAAAAAAGGGGCAGATAGAAGAGTTACTAGTTCCATGGTGAAGAGGACAAGGGTTCAAGGTCCTTGTGGCACTGGTCTGTGGAGAAGCACTGCTTGATATATATGCAAGGTTTGCAAACCCACTTGCAAAGACTTGAAAAGTAATTTCATAGAACCACAGAATCACAGAATGGTTTGGATTGGAAGAGACCTTAAAGATCACCTAGTTCCAACCTTCCTGCCACCTTGCATGAGACTGGGTTGCTCAAAGCCCTGTCCAACCTGGCCTCAAACACTGCCAGGGATGGGGCATCCACCACTTCCTAATATCTAATCTAAACCTGTCTTCTGTCAGTTTAAAGCCATCACCCTTTGTCCAATCATTTTGACAGACTGGACCTCAGTAATGACTCCAATGATTGTATGAAGGATGAATAAACACATTTGGAACATAGAACAAATTATCCAATTAGTTGTGCAACTTAAATCATACAGTTTACCACCCCAGCAGAGGACAAATTTGAAGGAATTCAGGGTAACTTTTTCCCAAGCCCTCATCCCCCATATGGTGAGCTCTTTGCAAAATCTGTCAGAGAGAGAAAGAGAGAGAGAGAGAGAGAGAGAGAGAGAGAGAGAGAGAGAGAATTCTCACGAAGAACAAAAAGCCAGATTTCTGAATGTGCTCTTCCCACACCCTTATCAGCTCTATTTTTAAATACAAAGCTAGCTCCATAGAATCTCCTGAGATTTGACAGTTGCTCACACTGTTACAGATTAAACAGAAGAGTGGCAGACTTGGCTGGACTTACTGCTCAGCACAGCAAAGAGGGAGACCTGCCCCTGCGAGCATGTCACGGTGTCAGGAAGTAGCATTTGCTGGACGGCAAATGAGCATGATGGAGGCCTGCCCCTGTTCAGGACACACAACACAAATCCTTTCATCATATTTCAGCTTTGATGCAGGCACTGCCAACAGCCTGCTCAACTACTGAAAATGAGTAGGCAACTCGTTTACTGGCTTGCTTGTATCTGCAGAATAGCTGGCAAGCGCATCATCAGAGTTATTCATGACAATCCATGTGTGGGTGTGTGTTGAGGCTTTCAAAGCAATGGTGTAAAATGTCTGTTCCTTCAGGCCTTCATGATATAGAGCCTCTTCTCAAAATCGTTCACTCTTATTCTGCCTTGCAGTTTCAGACATCATTTCCACTTGTGGGAGTGAGTCCTGCTGTGGCCGTCTCAAAGATAATGAAAACTAGCACACAGCAGCCCACTATGGAGTTGGGGAGGGAGTCCAGGGCTCTCCAGTTTTAATGTTTTCCTGTTAGACATTGCTAAATGTGCTTACTACCCATAGATTTGTTTATTCATAGCTCAGTGAACTGATGTTTTGATTAAAATTGATTTTGTTGTAACAGTGCTGTCACTATTATTAACCAGTTTCAATTCCTTTAAAAACAAACAGGAAGAATCCAAGCAGTTTGGTTACCTCTATGCAGTGCATGGCCATTGGAAAAAGTATCAAACAATAGATAAAATTAAAAATTAATGCAATTTTTAGAAAATTACTGGTTTTTTAATACGATTAAATACTATAGTCTGAACCCTTTAATACTACCCAGCTGGCTAATAAAGAAAGAACAGTTATATTAGACAGAAGATTTTTATTGAAGACAGCTTTAGTTTTTCAAACAGCACAGGTTTTTCTGGCTGGCAGAGTATCAGCTTGCCTGGTGAAAACTGTTTTCCCTTGGAAAGAAGAGAAGGGTATAAGATGTACCCAAGAAAAGACAATTCCTCTTGGCTGACCTAACCAGAAGTATTGGCTTGGGTCTCTGAAAGGAGCTCTTTCTCACTGCTGATAAGTTGTTCAGCAGCTATGCAGATGGACTGTTTCTTTGTTTGGGTTGTTTTTTGGGGTTGTTTTTGGGGGGTTGGGGGGGAATTTGGTGTTTGGTTTTGGTTTTGTTTTTCTTCCCAAAAGAAAAAAAAAGAGAGGTTGAAATTAGCAGCAAGCTCAGATTTTGGAACCTTTGCAGATGGCAATGAAGAGTCATGGGAGATACGGTAAAGAAGGTGATTTTCTGCATCTGCAGAATAGGAATGATGGAAATTAAGAAGAAAATTCTGAAATAACATTAACTCCCAGACCAAAATTGAGGCATAGTTTGTTTTTCAGAATAAGAAACAGGCTCCTGGTAGGAGGTCTGAATTTTCATTTGCTTCTTGAACAGCATGAAGTGTGCTGTCAGTTCTCACTAAATAGCAACAGTCAAGTGTAATGTTCTGGATGCTACACAGAAACATATATATGTACCATGAAGTAATAGGAATGTGACAGTATCAGGTTTTGGAGTTTTCATGTTCTCTTCAAAAACTCTTCAGTTCTGAAACTTTCTATGATGTAAAAGTTTCAGGCAGAAAAATCAGTAGATTGATAAGTCTTTTCTTGCTTGCTTGCTTTTTGAAGTCTGGGCAGTCAGTAGAAAGAAAGACAGGAGAAAAGGAGAAACAGAAAAAGGGTGAGAAGAAAGCTGAAAACCTGCAGATTTGCTTCATCTTGGATAGGGTAGGAGGGAAGTCTGGAGAGTAACATTATACTAACTCCTCTTTGGAATAATTTATAAAATTGGATATGCAGATAATTCACATACTGTAAGCAAAATTGGTCTGGAGACCACACAGTCCAGCAGACTGCAGAGCTTCCAGAAGGCCCAGCTGTTCCTGTCCTTCAGGACACATCCTTGCTCAGAGCTTTGCTCACAAGCTGAGGTCTTTTTTGTCACTGTAAACAAAGAGAAATGCAAACTGAGCAGCCAATCCTGCTCACTGTCTGTACACAGGGATTTCTGAGAAAGATGAAGATCAGTCCAGCTAGTCTGAAAGCAAAAGCACATTGCTTAAGGACAGCTATTTCCTTCCTTCATTTTGCATTGTCCTCCCTCTTACTTGTATATGTATCACTGTTAAATGAGAGAAAGGTAAGTTAGAAAGCCATGGAAATAACCCAATAGACATTTTCCCTTCTGGGCATTAATAAAAACAATCAAGCAGTTACTTAGGTTACCTTGTTTGTGATCTGTCCTTGTTCCCATTAAGAAGGCTTGCAATTCCATTTACAGAGTCCCCCTCTGTAGTGAAACAGTGTTCAAGCACAGCTATGCATTTCCAAGTGGCAAGATAGCAACCACATGTTAACAATTTCCTTCTCAAGACCTAGATGCTGCAAGCAAAAAATCATGCCTTGGCTTCCTGCCTACTTCTGTCTGGCTTAATTAGCTGATCCCATCAACAATCTCAGCTAAAATGATTCTCAGTAAAAGGGTAGGGGGGAGCTGCTTGAGCAGAACTGGGTGAAGCTTTACACCAAGCTACTGCCCTAGCAAGATCCAAGAAGAAAGGATCAAGGGCTTTGGCTCAGCACCTTCCTTATCCAGACAGAATTTGAATTTTTTGGGGACTGAAAGCAGGATTCTAAATAAAGCCTGATGCCTTCTAAAACTGCAAAATCTGCAGCAACACAAGTTCAGACGTTAGTTTTGGGGGATTGCTCAGGTCACTGTAGAGAAAAAGAACCACTCTAAAACTGAGTGCAAATATTTATAACAATCTCCCAAAGTGATTTGGATTTAGAATCACTTTATAGCATTGAAGATTACACTGAAGAGGAAGAATCAAAAATATTTTCTCCATTGTCTTAGCTTTATTTTTTTTTTCCCAGTGACTAAGTGTTGTCAGCTCAATCATAACAGATGATACTTTCCCTACCTCTTTACTACTTGGTGGTGGCACTACACAGCATGGTAGCACCACTTCTGTAGTATATTCACCACTACAGAACTCATGTTTCTGTGCCTGGAGGACTGTACAAAATAAAGTTTTCCATGGTAATCAAATCAAAATGACATGTCCCCATTTCCTAATGCAATCCTGAAAGTGCTGAACAGCAGTAAAACAAACACTTAATAGTATTTATAGTTTAAACATACTTAAAACAAAGATCCTAAAGCCTTTACAAAAACAAACTGCACTTCTCAACAATCTTGCTGGAATTTTACAGTGTCCATCACAAAGATTTTCCAGCTACATATTATTTTTAGTTTGAGTTTCAACTCACTAAGTTAAGGCATACATACTGAAAGTGCATCCAATTAGCATAGTCAGTTCAAATTGTTTGATTTTTTTTTCACAATTTAAGATATGATGCATAGATCTCCAGTGAAGACATAATGGTTTATTCACATCAATCCACAGATGAAGAGAGTCCCAAGTGTTTATTCGGTGCAGGGCTGGTTTACTTCAGCAGACAAGTGCATATTAGCAAACTGAAAAGGAATGCAGCAGCCCATCTCCTATAAACACCATTTGGCTATTTAAGCCTACACTGCACTAGAAATAGAATTATATCTCACAAACACCACCAAATGCCAGAGCATATAATTTATTCCCTGCACGCTATATTATTTTCAAATCAGATTTTATCTGTCTCTTACTATATAAAGCTGGGGAAATATTCTCATACACATGGAACACTTCTGCACTGAGGAATCATACCACTTTGGAATCAATTTACAGGCTGTGTATTGAAGATCAATCTACAAGGCAGGTTCAGATTTTGATTTGGGTCTTGCTTCCAGTCCAGCCACTCACCTCAGATGTGCTCCCTGGCATTTGTTTTTCACATTGCCTTTCACTGAGACTTTGCTGGCTCTGCTTTCCTTTGTCCTATACCATCTTCTGTTGCCATCCCTCACATCTCTTGCTTGCTTAAACACAGCCTCTGGAATGCTGTTTTCTCCAAACTAAGAACAAGCATCTCCAGTGTCTCTTAACGTTCTCACAAACACTGTTCATCTAGGTGAAGACCATGCAGTCAGGTCTGTAGGCTGCAAACCTTCCTACAAATGCTCCCTTCTTTCGGCCAAGTAAGGACCATAATCCATTTTAGTGTCTCAGCATGTAAAGATGATTCAAATTAAAAAAAAAAAAAAAAGTTACATTTGATGCAGGCAAATAATGAAGCCTTAGGACACAACCCTGTCTAATCCATCTATTTCAAACTTTGAAGCATACTTTGGACTGTACAGTTTTGCACACAGAGGATATGCTCTGATCTTTTATGCCTCCTCCTTAAAGTTAAGCTAGGTTTTCACACCGACAGCAGAGCTATTGTGTGCATGACATTTACTGCTGGAAATGGATGCTGTGTCTTGGCAATGAATGGAAAATCTGAGCTTTAGCAATGAAAAGATATCTTCAGAGTGTTCCTTGGTCTCTTGTTAGTCATTCAACGTAGAGGAATTCAGCACAGAGGAAACACGCTGGGTGAATGTCAGTGTTCCCAGCTCTGCCTGAAGAAAGAATAAATCCTGCTATAAAACAGAGTATGGGCACTGAGCACGACAGGATCCAGATTTTCAGTGCACACCAATGAAAACCTTCCCAACAGCAGAGTTCCAGCAACCCAGCTGGGGCTTATTTGGGAAATGTGCAGTTTTCCACATAGGAAAGTAAATTGGGATGCTTGTTTTCAGTTTATATGGAAAAATCTAATTGCTCTAATTTGTATTTATAGCCTGCAGCAAGAAGACATAGTCAACAGGCTGGAAAGTATAGTGTCATCTGAACCAGAAGTTTCCCATTTTTTTATAACTTCCCTTGAGAATGGGGTCCATGGCCCATGTCTGACTGGATTCCCAGGAGACAACACAGGCTCTTTGTACAGGTACGGCTCTAAGGCTTTGCATTAACTTTACTCTTTCACCAGGTTTATATCACTTACCAAATTCACCTGAGTATGCTTTTCTGTCTGTGTGTATCAGTGTCCTCTGCTGAGACAGCAAACCCTTTCCCAGCTGAAGACAATTCCCACCATGCAACCTTTTAGAAAGTAATTCATAGCCTGTGTCACATCCCAAAGGCTGTGTGCACAGACTGGCACCGCGAGGGGACTGGGGCCAGCTCCAAGCTCTGCCTGCCACAGACTGCCTCTGGATCTGACGCGTGCGCACAGCTTTATTCCTTGCAGTGGCTTTGTAGTAATGATCAGAGGATGTACAGAATAAGCCACAGAACCTATGCAATTTAAAGCTAACCTGGGTTACTCACAAAGCATGTAATGCACTGGATTTCTAACTGAGAATTTGTGTGCCTTTCAAGCCAGAGCCGAATAAAAAGAAAGAGCTTAGACAAGGCGCAAGATGGTTGTTGTAATCTCCCTGCCCTTAGCAATGCCATGAGGATGACGCTCTTCTGACTGATGTGTTGTGTAATGGTCTTTTGCATATAATTCTTCAAGCAATTAGACTGAAATCTGCTGTCTAAAAGATCTGTTCAGCATTTATGCCCTGTATTTTCTCATTTTATTCATACTGAAATATAGGGAATCTATCCAGCTAGTCAAGGTGACACTCAAAGTTGCTCTTTTTGCAGTACCATCTATTATAAATGTTACTTACAGTAGCTGTATTTAACTTCATGCTGACAGCATAGTTTAAAAAAGAACCCACATTTCAGTTGTTTACAGATTCTAAACAAAAGATAATTATTTGGCTATGGAAAAATGATCTAACAACTTATGTAAAACCTGCTTCTTCCAGAGTATCAAGAACTCAGGGAACGAGAGGGAGGAACTAAATGAAATTTTTTTGCAGTTCTTAAAGAAAACTAAAGCAGAAACAATCAAGGATCTGACTTTCAGAAATGGTTATTTTAATGTATGTTAAGAAAGAATAAAAGTTTCTGTCTTTCCTTTATGTCATTATTACAGTATACCATTACATATGGGCTTTTTGATCGATGGAACTTTTCTGGTGAATCATGATGATATATAGTTTTGGCTCTTAAATTATATATTATTATTTAATATTTACATTTTTTCACACATTTTTTTGCTAAACAAAATCTAGTACTCACTGTACAGTGTGTTTACTGCACGATGCAGTTTTAAAACATGCACATAAACAATTCTGCACACGAGTGTTTCTGTGGAGAGTTAGAGCTGCAGTAATTTGGCACCAGAGCAACAGTGTGTGAGGCAAGTTTTTATACTGGACAAGCAAGAAAATGTGGTTATTTGAAAGAAGTAATTTAGGATAAATAAAATATTTACACAAGCCAAAATCTAATCAAGGTACTTGCTTCAAGAAGTGTATTTACAGGGTGCTAGTATACTAAAAAAACCCTCAAGGGACATACGTGAACATAAAAGGAGAAAAATGCATTTAAAAATCATGTTACAGGTCAGTGAACAAAAGATGTTGCCCTTGACACATAGTCATTGGTCTATAAAGAGAGATGTATGTTTAATCTTAGCCTGATTTCCAGTGGACAGATGGCATTATTTTGCAAAGCCTGTGGTATCACAAGGCCTTACATCAACGTTGCCACATCTGTAAAGTAACAATTTCTTAATAGGAATCTGACAGGTTTCAGACTTGGTGATTTTTACCCCTAGAACTCTCCAAAAGGATACATGGGAATATTAATGGGAAGGCAGCACTGCTGCCTTTTTGGATGGTGCACTCCTGTTTACTTTGCTATCCATCAAGTGCAGCATGAATGGGCAATGCCTTGCAGCTCCCCAGGACACTGCAGAGAGGAGAGAGAACCATCAGAGAAAATTACATCAGCTGTCCTGCAGAGCATGAACAATAGAGCCAGCAGGGCCCAGTGCACCTTCCTTTATGCCATCATGATGCCATTTGATAGAAACCAGCTGCTCTGGTCGTGTTCTTCACACTAAACCCTGCCCTGCCACCAGAACATGCAGACAAGACCCAAGTGTCTGATGCTCTTATGCTTTATTTAGTTTTCAGTAATTTCATACAGTTAAGTGGATTGATGTTCTTGTAATTAAAACAAAGAATCACTATCAACAAATCTCTTAGACCTTTAACGATACTTAAACAGATTTCCATAAGCTATGTCAGCATTGACAGTACAGTATTGTCTAGTAAAAGAAGACTTTTAAAAATGTATCTGCCCATTTCACAAGGAAACAGATCTGAATACATCTCTAGTGGCACTCCATCTCTAGTTGTTTAGAAACAACTTCCTGTCAGAAATTAATTCTCTTGGCTTGCTTCACCAGAGGAATCACTGCATACATGCCAAATCAACAAATCACTATGTAATTCATAATGATGGCTTATCAAGTAACTGATAGAAAGTGTTGCATGCGTAGGAGGACTAGACTAATCTTAGAGAAGAGAGGGATAAATGTTCAACCCCCCCATTCCTAGATTTGCATTATTAGTGCCCTTATTGATGCCTAGCATCAGTGGGATAACACTTTTTTATGTCGTTTTTTTGGCTGAAGAAAATAAATCAGTACTATTTTGGATGTGGCCTTGTTCTCAGTTGAGATAGGTGGATCCCTGGGTGTCCTAACAGATAACCTGTTCCCTGAGCTGCACAGGGTCCTGGGGAGTCTGACTCCTGGCAATGTCTCTGGCCCCAAAGTTTCCCCCACAGCTGCCTCCCAGACTTATCTTCCAGGGGAAGAGCTGCCCCCTGTGCTGCCTGGATACCCACTGGAGCATGGGTGGCCTGGCAGCAGACGGAGCCAGCAGGCAGAGAGCCACATCATGGGTAAAGCCAGCTCTGAGCCAGGCTGCCTCCTCACCTGCTTTTTTGCTGAACTTGAAAGCCAAATGAACATCTTGCTGTGGAAAACCTCGATGCCAGTGCATCCAGTGCTCTCCTGCTGGAGAGGCCTGCCAGGAAGCACCCCAGCCCTGCTCCTGCTGCCTGGCAGAGCTGCTGTGGCGTAGAAAGGTGTCCAGCCAAAAAAGGGATAAGCTTTACCCTTGGAGCAGTGGGCTTTTTGCTGGGAGTCATACTGCTCCTGGGCTAGGAAATTCCTGGGAACAAACAGTGTTCTTTCTTCCTCAGACCGCACAGCTGCACCTTGTCTACCAAACTGGGTCTGTCTCAAAAAGTGATTGTCACACTAAATTCTCCCTGGAGGATGAGATTTTTTTTTATTTTTAGTGAGATAGCAAAACATAGAAACAAAATAGATTTCAAAAAATACGTGATTATTTTTCTGGAGCATGTTGTGTTTGGCAATGAATTTAATTCATTTGTGTTGTTCAACTCTTTACCTTTAAATAACACTCCCAAATACTCCTGAACTGTTTTATCTGCCTGTTCCATGATGCTTCTGCAGGAAAAATTACCTCATATATTTGCACCTCCCATATTTGCACACTGTAAAGTTCATCATTAGAAAATAAACAGGAAAAACCACCCCTTTGAATTTTGCACAGCCTAAAGCATCTCTCAAAACAAAATCACTGAACAAAACCTTCCTGTAATTTTATTTTTTAATTCCAGGGCCATTTTTGGAGTGTTTTTTATACACAAATCAGTGTACAGTACAGGAAGTGCAGAAAGGCAGGAGCTGCAGTCTGCTCAGTAGTGGTAAGACCCTATAGGTCCAATATAGACAAAGCCACACAGGAACCCCAAGCAATGTTGTTTTACATAAACTACATGTCTGTTGCACCAGTAGCTTTCTGGTTTCTTTCCCCTCTTCTGTATTTTACATCATTCCTCTTAGTACTGAAAAGAAATCAGGCTTAGGGTCTACATCCCGAGACTTCCGTGAAAGTTTTGACACAGACCTGCATATAAGTCTTGTGAAGCCAAATGTGTTTTCTATGACTTTTATTCTTTGTTAAATTCTCACCTTTTACTGTGTTCTTCATAAGCAGTTATACAGAAATGCAGGATTTGTTTTACGCCTCAAATGAATTTTCATTTTCAGCTACTTCAGAAAAGGAACTGACCACTTGTGCTGGAAGTCATCTCCTCCTGCTGCCTTTGCTTCCCCAGCATGATTGATGGCACATTGATATCCTGAAGCAAAGGGCCCTGCCGTTTCTTCTGTGTGCTCTGAGGTGGTGAAAGTGCTTCATTATCCAAAAAAACCCAAGCCAGCAAACCCAAGGATCTAAACTAGCTCAAAAGGAACTTAACAAGCCAGGCTCCTGTGGAGAGCTGCTGCTCCTCCTCCAAAGAATTTGTCTTTCTTTACAGATCACAAAAATATATAATGGATCAAGAAGATAACCACAACTATAAAGAGAGAAGGTATGTACTCTTACATCCTATTCTAAAATGTCCTACATACAAAACTATTTACTGTAATCCCTACATGAAACATTCACTAGTTTTATCCACTGTTGTAGGAACACTAGAAAACATTTTTGTTTTATTAAACAATATTAAAGTTTTCACTTTTTTGTCCTATAGCTAGTATTTTATGGGTTTGCATGCTGAATCTCTTCTTTAAAATTATTCTGTGCAAGTTGCTGAGAAATGTGTAATATCTGCACAGTGGAAATAAAGCATTAAAAATCATGGATCCGTATTCTGCACACACTCACTCTACTGTAAATCCCAAGTAACTCTGCTGACTTCGCTGCATTTAAACTAGATTTATAATGAAATTCAGAAATTGTCTTGTACTTCCAGTGATTAAGCTTCAAAGTCATTTACTATGACCTTTTCTGAGTGCAAAAACATTTTAGACAGTGTTACATAAGCAGCTTGCTAGATACAGTATGACTTCAGTTAAAAAAACAATGATGGCAACAATTACAGTTTCTCCTTCAATCTTCTTTAGTACTGCTGGAACTAGGAAAAAATACTACCTTTTTTTGAAAGCTCTACAATATTATTTTCACTTATGATCCTGTTCTCTGGCTCAAAGAAACACAAAAGGTACATCCAGAAGCAACTTGCTTGGTTATACAGTTAATCCCTTGCAAAATATAATGATTTTTTTTTAATTTATCATTATTGTTTTCAGTATCCTCTCAGATGTCCTGAAGAATACAGCTTCTACCACTTCTCAAGGTTCTCAGGGAGCTACAGACTTGCCAGGACCTGACCTGGCAAGGTCATTATGCTGACCTGGGGACTATGAAATAACAGCCCAGTCCAGGGCAGTATCTTTCTCTTAGTAGTAAAAAAAATAGGAATGAAGTAAGACAAACTCCATACCCTAAACCAAAATCAAGCCCTTGAGATCTACCTAAGGCAATACTATCAATACTACCTCTGGAATTTTATTACTTTGCACTACCCCAAATGTTTTCTCTCTGGAAAACATTCTCTATAGCCTCTGTCATGGAGTACTGAATGCATCCCGTAGCTTCACTAGGTGATGTTAGACCCACCACACATTCCCAATAAGACAGATGAGCCCTAAAACCTGTCTTGTTTTTCACACAACACCTGCACAACTCATTCACAGCTGGGAGCAGTTCTGATGTGGAGTTTTGCAGTATCAGTGTAATTGCTCTGGGGTGATGCATTCAAGCAGACGTTTGCACAGGAAAAGGTTTGCAACACAAATATGGAGAATGGGGATCAGAAAGATCATTAATTCATACATGTGAATACATACTGCATTCTCTGACTCTTTTTTTTCTGGTCAGTTATTTGTAGCAATTTTTCAATCTGCTTAGAACATATTTTGAACTTGGGAAGCCCCGTTGTCTACATGGAAAAGGAATTACTCCCTGTGTTACACTTCCATTCATGCTATTGATCAAGTTGGACTCATCAGAATCACAGAATAAGCTGTGTTGGAAGGGACCCTCAAAGATCACTCCCAGCCCTGCACAGCATCAACCCAAGCCTTTTCAGTCATTTTCCATGGGAAAATAAATTCCTGATGCCACAAGCCCATGTGCATTACATACAGTGTGTTTTTACCCCTTCACTTCAGCATTTACTTTTACCATGTTATTTCATTTGGTCTCAGCATTTATGCACTGCAGGAAACTATTAACACATGAAACCTCCCTTTTCACAGATATGATCTCCTAATTAAACACAGAGTTAATTATCTCAGCCTTTATAACTGTGATTAATTCCAACAAGTTAACCTTTCTTTTCCTTTTATGTTCAACACAGGGAACTGCTTTGGGTGCTTACTTATGCCACTAAACCTGAACACTGTCTCCAAGAAATGGCTCTCCAAAAGTTTGAGGAAGGAGGGACTCATTGTCTCCTCAGAAGCTTTCTTGCTCTCTAGCTCTGCAAGTCCTCCCAATCCAGGAGCTTGGATCAAACAGAGAATAGGCTGAAGAAAGAGGCCTCCTATCTCAGCTTCACAGTTACTTCTTCAATGGCATCTTCTACCTCTCTGGCAACGTGAGCCAAAAGTTCCCTGACACACAAGAAGCAAGAAGGGCTTAGGAAACATAACTGGCCGATTGCTCCAGCCAAAACATAAAATACTGCTTGAACATTGCTGGAAGAATTGTATCTCATGTGTGACAGGTGTCCTGAGTGTGAGTTAAGAAAGACTTGGAACTTGGCCTTTGTGTGTCTCCACTTAAGAGCTGCCAAAGCTCATCTGACAGGACACCTACAGTGACACAACCAATTCAGAGCCACAGAACCATTTAGGTTGGAAAAGACCTTCAAGATCATCAACTACAACCCTAAACCTAACATTGCCAGGACCACCAATGGAAATTGATTCCTTTTCAATTAATTATTGTTATTCTTCTGCTTCTATTTTGAAACTCCTTAGAGCTACCCTCTGCAGCTGATGCCTGATCATAGCGGAACCACAAACTCAAGCAAATTAATTTAATCTATGCAAAGGAGTGCTGGTGCTTTAAGTTGGGGCCTGTCTGCAGTGAGTAACTTTGTGTGCCATAGCCAGGGTGTGAATTTGCAGCCCACAAACTCATCTGCACAAGGCTTTTGCATAGTCACTGGGAAAGCAGAAGAAGTTACTGTAAGTAACTAAGAACATCCATAAAGGATATAGTTCAAAGTAGCTAATGAACTATATATTCACATCCTGGCTAAGTATCCACTTATTTGTTCCATGCATTAATGTACAACTTATATTAGAAACCATATGGGTTGGTGAACCCCATGTTTCCTTTTGTGCTATGGCAAAAATAAAACCAGAAGCACTAATTGGTTAATAGGTTAAGGTAGCAACTTTTGTATTCCAGTAATCCACACAAGCACCAGCATGCAGCACTTCTCCCACCCAACTTCTCCCTCTGCTCTCTCCTGCACCAAAGCTCAGTGTCCTGCCCCATGGCTCCAGTGTCCAGCCCTGTTCCCAGGTTTGGTCACTCACTTCCCCACTTCTTCAGGGCTTACTGCAGCCCAGTGATGGCCCCAGCCTGGCCCAGCAGAGCAGCCTGTTTCCTGCATGCCTCCTGACTTTCCACTGAGCTGCCCTATGATCATCACAGTTAAACAAATAAAAGAATTTCCAGTTTAGAGAGTTTAATTATCTTTGATTTAATGCTTGTCAAAAGCTTTTTCCTCCTGATATAACTGATGTGAAATTCCAGGAAATGACCAGTTAAACCCAAGGAGAGTCTGAGTGGACCCTTGTGCTGGCTGGACACATAGATAGAGTGTCCAGCCAGGACAGTCACAGAATACATTGCCATGTTAGAGCATGCTGCTTGAAGTTTTCATAATACTATTTTCTGCCATATTCTACCTCCTAATATGCAAATTTTCTCTGTCTCCCCAAGCCACAGCCATGGGATCTCACTGGTTCCTGGCCCTGTGGGAGAAGGGTGAGGTGGGTGTCCCACTCTGAGTCACAGAACCCCATGGAGGTGTTATACATCACTTGCTCTCCAGTCTGGGATACGTGCTTCTCCAGATTCAGGAAGTGTGGCCCTTATGGCATCTGCTCTGCTTCCCAGGCTTGAAAGCAAGGAATGAAAGGAGAATAAAAACCCCTCTCCAAAGCAGACTCTTTCTGACACCCCGTGTCGGTATAAACTCTATCTTTTGGCAGGGGCCTGTGGAGTAATGCCAGCAGGAACACCAACAGGTTACTCTTCCTCACCATCTCCAGCAATACTGCTCACCAGAGAGATTTCATGTGTGTAAAATACACATTCTTTCACATGTGTAAAATAATTTCCAAAACAAAGGATTTAAATACACGTTACTAATCTTATTTGGATTCTGTCCAGAAGAACTAAACAAAAGCCTTTTAAATAATCAGATAATAATAGCAAAATCATACTATTGTATTTTAGAAATATTTGTTCAAAACTGTAAGAGATAACTGCTCAAAATATTCAGCATGTACCAGAAGTTCTATCATTTGGGCACATATTTTATGGGGTTTTTTTGAGACTAACCCTTTGATTATATTTTTTGCTGCTCAGTTTCTCATGAGTCTGGCTGTTTTTTTTACCCCATTCCTTGCCCCTCTGTGGATCATGCAGGTTCTCTATGCAGGTTCCTCCACACTCTACTTGGATGTCCTCTTCTGGGGCCATGCCTTCACCTTCTCACCATCTGCCTTGCTTGGGTGTTTGCCCAGAGAAGCTTTTCTTGCTATGGGACCTCTGAACTGATGGCCCTCTGCTCCCCTCCAGCTCTGCTCCTAGGAGCTTTGGAAAACTGAATTAATGAGTGTGGACAGCAACATTTTGAAAGGTGCCAGGCAGTTTACATAAGATGGAAAGATGCACTTTTACAGCATCAAAGCCTCTGCAGGAGTAAGACACCTCTTGGCCTGAAGCCGGAGCTCTTTTACAAGAGTTTTTGTGCTTAACCTTTTATAATGACCTGTTCTTTAAATTACAATAAAACTGAATTTTGTTATTTAAAACAGTGAGTGAGGAGACTGCTCTGTAAAAGGGGGTCAGAAAAGGTCAACCTGTTTCCCTGAATGTCCAGCAGAAGGACAGGGTTTGTCCCACAAAAATCAGGCCTGTCCTGTGTCCAGGAGGCTGTTTTCCCTGCCTTTATTTTTGCACATGATGTGCATTTTACATGCAGGGTAGCTCTCCAAACACCACTTGTACTGCTCTTCCATAGGAAACGGTGACTGTTGTGCAAAGTGTTTCCATCAGATTAATGGCTGGATGGGAGCAAATGGTGGTCCATAAGTAAGGTAAAGTATATTAACTCCAAACAGTCACTAAATCTTTAGGAAATGCCCTGACCTCTGTTGGTTATTGCTATAAAAACTCGGAAAAAAAACCCCAGGCATTTTTTCTCTATGACATAACCACCACTGGTATGCATAGAATATATGTTAGTAAATCCTTTGGCCTTCTCCCTGTACTCTAGTCATCATAATTTGCTATTTGGGGAGAAATACATGCTGATGTGCTGAGAAGAGTGAGGGAAGGAAACCATTATTGCTTTGAAAACCACAGGCAGAAATGAAGATTGAGTTTCTCCTTTTCTAAAGCATCTTCACTTCCCTTAGCATTACTTTTTAAATTCTTATTGTTGTTTGGAACTTTATGCTTCAATCCTTGGAGCCATTTACTTCATTCCTTCCCCTGGGTTGCTCCTGTTATTTTTATCTTGGAGGATTAACCAGAATACAGCCTATTACAATACAGAAGGGTGTTTGTGTGACAGATGTGTGGGCAGAAGAGGAAATGAGAGCAGAAATGCGTCATCAGCATTTGAAAGGGATGTTAAGGCACAGACAACCAGCAAGCAGCTCTGGATGTAGACGGTGATGGACAAAGTGGGCAAAACTACACCTTTGCTTGAAGAGGGAGTTATAAAAGTGAGAAGCTTAAAAGGAAGGTAGCTACTTCCACTTAATACCTAGCACTTCACTGAGGTCTTTATTGTGCAAACTTTTTCTCCCCTGTGCATTTCTTCCAGTGTATGCTCCTCCTACCAACATGCTTTATGGACCTTTTATTGCTTTTAAGAACCTCTCAGAAGACACTTCAGCTTATGCAAGTACTAACAAGATTTCAATGCCCTGTGTCCTTGTTCCTCACAAGACATCACTGCATAAACTATTCCAAGGAATTCTTTTAGAAGAGACACTGTGCTGTTGCCCATAAATCTAAGGGCAGCAGATGGAAAAATTAAAACTATGGTGACATTAAGTGATATAAGTTAATTAAATAAGGCAGAGGAGTATTTTAACAAATGCTATCCTGCCACACAAGTCAGCAGTATTTTAAAGATATTGCTATGGTATTTTCATCAGAGTCAGCAGTTGATGCAACAGTCTTTGGATAAGATCCTCTGCCTCCTAGCAGGCTGTTGGGAATGAGATGGGGACAAGACCAGTGCCTGAAATGACTTGGAGGATGATGAAAGCATTGTTTAGTCCAGTCCCAATTTAGGTACTGATGATACATATTGGAAAATATCTTCTCTTTAAAAGCTTTAGTTATTACAGGGTCCAGGGAGAATTGCAAGATCAAACAGATCTGCACCAGTCATTTATAGGTGGAACTAAATTGCAACACATGCCACTCTTTCTATCCTTTCTTTGTTAACCCTCTTCTTTGCTTTCTCAGGACCATTCACAAATGCTAAGTTCACTGACAGTGAAACTTGCTTTTTTACAGGTGCTGCATGGACTTGGAATCATAGAACCATAGAATGAGCTGAGCTGGAAATGACCCATCAGGGTCATCAAATCCAACTCCTGGCCCTGCACAAGACACCCCAAGAGTCACACCATGTGCTTGAGAGTGTTCAAACATTTCTTGAAGTCTGTCAGGCTGGTGCTGTGACCACTTCCATGTTCCAGTGCCCATTACCCCATGCATTCCCAGGGACTTGTAAAGCAAAGGTTGAAAGTTGGTAATCTCTCCCTCTGTAGAGATCTTGCATAAACCAAGAGCACCTGCACTGTACAATCCCAATGGTTTCCTTAAACAATTTCTATCCTCTGTGATCAAGCTGCCTTTGCACAAAAGATGATCCACCTCAGTCACAGCACTGCTTGTTACTGTCCATGTAATTCTCATTTCTCCACTGCCACTGTTTTTGCCAGGCTTTCTATCTACTGATCAGCACTTCAACTCACCAGTCTGCAGAAAGTGTTGCCTTTGCTCTTCAAACCTCTTTTCACTGTGCTCACAAAACAAATATTCCTATTGTGACCCTTTCTGCCATTATAACTCCATTAATGAGCTCCTCATCGAAGGTTAGGAAGGTGCTGAGAGATTACATCCTATCTACTGCTAGTTATCACATTGAACCAATTGTTTGGCCTGTGTTTGACAAGACCACTGATCTTACCATGCCTCAGGAGTTTTTGGGAGCCAAGCTTATCTGTCTCCACTGATTCCACAGCAGTGCTTTGTGAACCACAAAGTGCTTTACTAAGGCAGACGTAACAGCTCACAACTTCTTGAAAAAGACCTGATTTCACTGGTCAGCCATCTCTGGTGACTTGTGCAGCTTAGCAGCTCACTTTTCTTAGGCATTAACAGCAGAACTGATTTTCCTCATTCTTTATTTAGCTTTTTTTTTTTCTTTTTGCATATGATACAGCCCTTCCTGAACAGACTAGCTCTTCTTCCCCTGGACCATTTTGCCCCATCCACTCTTTGGACCTTTGGTTTTCACTGATTTCTGGATGGCACCCTTAACTTTCTCTGCTACAATGCAATCCTCCTCATCATCATTCTGCTTGTAGACTTCTTTATTTTGAATATTATCTTGTCTTTAGTGTGTCTTTTCCTGAGATCATCAGATGTTCACCATTGGTGTTCTGGGGTCTGCTGTGTAGTGCTTCCTTCTTAGTCCTTTCTAATTTGAATACCTCTCTCACCTTGAAAAATCTGAAGATAATTCTGCAATTTCAAAGTTCCTCAAAAACCAGTTTATTTCCACTTTATCTGATTGCTTGCATTTTCTACAAAGTTATGGGGGTTTTCCCACTCAGAGTGTGGACTCCCCCTCACCACGTTGCCTGTCTCTGCCTTTTCACAGACCAGGGTATCTTCTGCTATCTACAGAATCTACCTTAATCACTTTCATGGCATATTCAAGACAGAACCTTCTAAGGACCTCTAGATATTCCTCTGCATTTTGTTCTGGCCTTGTGCTGAAAGCTTGTGGCTCACCATCTTCTCACAGTCCAGTTTTGCCATAGGTATCTGGCATGTTCTACTAATGCCTTGACTTCCCCTCGCTGCTTGTGCTGCTATGAACCCCCAGGAGATTTGCTGGAACCTTTGTCACTGAGATAAACAGGAGACAAAAGAGTTTTAGGGAAGAATCACTCATGATACTGTCAATACCAGATGGATTTTTTTCAGGTCAGTTTTCAATTTAGTTTGAGCATAATAATGCATCATGTAGATGATGTAGTGGAAGCTTTTGAAGGGAAACAATCATTCACTGACTGGGTTTTGATTTTGGCTGCAGTTACCCCTGCAAGCTCTCAGCACCTGGATAGTTCAAACAGCACGTGGTACACAAACATTTCTCTCAAACTGCTTTCTAGACCCCTTGCAGCACAGCCATTTGATATCCTGAAGCACACAGATAATATGAGTGGATTTCATATAGATGAGGCACACAACAGACACAGAACAGCTAAACTCTGAACTCCTCTAGCACCTTCACAAGTACTTTCAAAACAGAGTCTGTGTGTGACAAAGTCAGGGGGCTGACCAACTCCAAACTTCATTATCTCATAACAAAAAAAAAAAACCCACAAAAACAACAAGAGAAAATACCCACAAACCAAAAAAAACCCTAAAAAAACCCCACATAACTAAAACTTCAGAGAGACTTTGTAAAATAAATAAATAAATAAATAAATATTTTTGCTCTGTATGATACCACTCTGTATAAACTCCTAGCAGAAGCATCTGCTTCAGAGTAGGCATGAGTTTTATGAAAGGTACAGCAAAGAATCTAAACTTACATTCACTACAATACAAAACCCATTTTGTGAATTAGAGGAGCACTGGGCAAGGAGACAAGCACAGAATCATGTGACAGACCAAATGCATTATTTATTATTTAGTAGGGCTTCTGTAATACAATTCTGTATATTGACTTATTTATGAAGTAAGAAAGAAATAGAACTCTTGTGTGAGGAAAATAAGGTTTTATATTCAGCTACTATGCCAGCAAAAAATTGAAACTAACAAACATGAGCTAAAAAGATGGCATAATGTTCTTAGCTGCTGCTTAGGAAATATTGACTGCAGCACATCAAAGCAAATGAAGGAAGTTGCATACAGGAACGGTGAAAGATGAGACCCAGCTTTTGGTTCCCCAGGCCGCCAAAGAGCTTGTGCGGTAAAGGCAGTAGGAATGAGAGCTCCCTTTTGCATGAAACTCATCCTCCTCCTGAGCATTCATGGCAAACCATTCACACCACTGCCAGGCTTGGCACTGACCGAGATTTGGGCTGGCACCACCAACGCTAAGCTACAATAATCCTTTAAGATAAAATTTGCCACCAAGCAGCAGGAAGGTGACTCAGAGTGCAAGATCCTGTTCTCCACACTTGTCTGACCATGAGACCCTGCTGGCACTGTCAGAGGTGAAGCCCAGGAGCACCAAAACTAATGGTAGTTTCTTCTACACAAAGCCTTTTACAGACTCACAGAAGACAGGGGAGACAAGATGAATAGTGGCATTGAAAAACACCCTCTCTTTTCTTCACATTGGAGTCAGAGTGTCCATATAGTATCTGTGACTCTCCTGGAGAGCAGCTTTCTGGCATCCCACTGTCTGGCATTATATTCCTAATTCTGCAGCTGAAGTACCTAACTCTCACAGTTCACTGAAATCGTGTGTGATGCCCAAGGGCTGTACATTTCTCT